ATGTATTGGGACTTTTTTCCCCTTCACTAAACCAGACGTGGGCATGGCCAGCACGTGACGCATCCAGCCAGCCCTGTTCTAGATGCTAAAGGTTGCCCAATTTTATTCTTGTTACAGATAGTTCTTGACTTACAAGCACAGCTGGGACAGAAAGTCAAGGGAAGTCAGATTCACTTTAACAGTCGTGTTACTCACTCAACCACTGCACTGATTCACTTAACTGTTGTGGCAAGAAAGGTCGTAAAGTGGGACAAAATTAACCGAACAACCATCTTGCTTAGCAACATAAATTTGGGGCTCAATTGCGGTTATAAGCCGAGGACTACGCATGTTAACCATTTTAAATTTTGAGTTGGTGAAGGCTCCTGAGAATACCATGGACAGCTGAGAAAACAAACGTAACATCAAACAAATCAATTTTCTCATTTGAGGGACAAATAACCAAACTCAAATTATCCTATTTCATATGCATTATGTGAGGATCTAGCTCTCTGCAGAAGGCTCTAACGTTGAGTAAGGAAAGAGAAGAGGATGATCAGCATTGTGGCCAGACTCCATTACAGTGGTAGTGAGTGCACATCATCACAGGGAAAATCTATCTAGGTGGTCGCAAAGAGTCAGTCCTGTCTCAATGGCACATAATTAAAGACCCAGTTAGATTTTGATAGGATTACTTTCAAGTTGCTGACAGTGGAAGTTGCCATTTAAAATGTCCTTTTACATGATATTAAAAATATGGGAAAGATTAGGTTATGTGTGTTATCTTTTTTAAATGCAAGTTCTTAAGGAGGATTAAACAAAATAACTTGCAGTCACAACACATTAAGAAGTGAAGATCAGCAGGGTGAGCAGGAGCCGCAGCAAAGGCATCAGAGCTTATGGCATAACATTGTCCTCATTGGGGTGTTAAGACTCAACTTCCTATAATCAGCTTATGTTTTCTGAGACAAGTTCATACACTTAGAGGTTAGCTAACAATATCCCCTCCTGCCAGGCTGTATACACGTAGAGGTTAGCTAACAATATATAAGTGTCAAACCTCTTTGATTAAAACTCTAGCTATAAGCACCACACGAGCATTTGTAGATTATAATCTTATAGTGCCATCTCTAGCTGACGAGCTGCTTATTCTGTTATGCCATAATGCACTTTCTTGTTATAACTCAGTTTTTGGAAAAGCCTAAACTTATGGTTTAAAACAGGGATCTCCAACCTTGGCAACTTTAAGACCTGTGGACTTCAACTCCCAGAATTCCACAGCTAGCCAAGGCTGGAGACCCCTGGTTTAGAATAGACTGTGAAGCCAACTATTTGCTAAGCCCTGAATAAATTTTTAACATAATGTGTGAACTCAGCCTCCTGCCCCTAGACCACTTCTCAGGAGAAAGGAACTGGCTGTCAGATCTGCACAACTTAAGCCTCTAAGCAGAAATCATCCTTGACTCCATATTGACAAAGTTATAGTTTTATCAGAGGACAAATTATTGCAGACTTGCAAAGCCAAAACTGAGAATCACACATCAACATTCCTACATTCTACTTTACCTCCCTTAACTATCTCATCGTCCAACCCAGTTTAACCAATCAGATTCAGGCAAGATATTTTCAAAACAGTCAGTCCAAGCGCAGTTTGGTATATAGGTCCCTCCTTCCAACTGGGTGACCTTGAGGCAGCATCTCAGAGATACAGCACTTACTTTCATTTCCCCCCTAGCCTCTCCGCTTTCATTCCCCCCTCACACAGTTCATGGCAGTCTGTCTCAGCATAGCAGTGGGCACAAGTAAGCATAAGATGGCAGCTGACCCTGCTAAAATATCAGCTTTTGAAAAAAACCCTAGCATCTTCTTTTTCCCTGGGATCCACATTACAAAGCAAATCTGATGTGCAGAGTTTAGCACAAAGAGAAGTTCAGTGAGTCATGACCAATTTTATGACCTTTTTTGCCAGTTAAGAAAATCACTGCAGTTATTAAGTGAATCATGTAGTCTTTAAGCAAACCCAGCTTTCCCCATTGACATTGCTTGGCGGAAGCTGTCTGGGAAGGTCTTAAATGGCAATGGTCACGTGACCCCCAAGGATACTAAAACTATTGTAAATGCACACTGCATGCCAACCAACCAAAATTTGATCACATGATCATGGGGATGGGGCGTTGGTTCTAAGTGTGAGGACTGGCTGTAAGTCACATTTTTCAGGTGCCACTATAACTTTGAGTGATCACTAAATTAATGGTTGTATGTCAAGGACTATCTGTATAGATCGGTATTGACCTGAACTTCACGCTGCAAAAGAAAATGGCTATCCTGTCAAAGAAAACCTTAACCTGAAACTAATCTTCTGCATTAGCCTTCCAAATTCGGTTAAGGACATAAAATACGTTCTGGCTGAGGGATCCTGGGAGTTGAAGTCCACACATTTGAAAGTTACTGAGACTATCTGCTGTCACCTTATGCTTGCTTGTGCTTTGCTGCTATAAGGTGTCAGACCGCCATGGACTATGAAGGGGGAATTGAAAGGGGTAAGGCTTGTGGGAAAGCAAAAGTGACTGCTGTATCTCCTTGAGACATTGTTTCAAGGTCACCCAGCATACCAGCCATAGCAAACTGTGCTTGGACTGATCATTAGGAAAAAATCTTGCCTGAACCTGACTGTTTGCATGGAGTAGGCAATAGAAGGTAGCTGAGGGGAGGGGAAAGTTGAACTTAGAAATTCTGGTGTGCGATTCTCAGTTCTGGCTATGCATTACTGTAATATACCTGACTTTTAATAAAACTACAGGTAGTCCTTGATATACAGTTCATTTAATGACAGTTCAAAGTTACAACAGCATTGAAAAAAGTGTCTTATGACTGTTTTTCACATTTAAGACCATTATAGCATCCCCATGGTCATGTGATAAAAATGTAGATACTTGACAACTGACTCATATGTATGACAGTTGCAGTGTCCCAGAGTCACGTGAACATCATTTGCGACCTTCTCATAAGAAAAGTCAATGGGGAAGCCAGATTCACTTAATAACCATGTTATTAATATAACAACTGTAATTCGCTTTAACAAATGTGGCAGGGAAAATCACAAAATGGAACAAAACTCACTTAAAAAATTTCTCACTTAGCAACAAAGATTCTGGGCTGAATTGTAGTTGTTAAGTAGAGGACTACCTGCATACCTTTTCCCACAAATGGAGCCAAGGAGTTTTATGTGGAGGCAGGTCTGACAGACGCTGACCTAACGGAATGGTGCTAAAAGTGAAATTTTCATTCACTGCCTTTAGAAATTAATAAATCCTTTTGCTTTTTTATTAATACATTTTTTAATTTCTACAAACACATCATTGTGTGAACAGTGGGTTCCAGAGTATTTTACATTTTAGAACAAACATGACAATAATTTCATATTGATACTGTTAACTTTCTTATATAGTTTGATATTAATGCAAATTATCAACATTAATTATTCAATATTCCCATGTGCTATTTTTGTTTCCATCTCTATATTCTTAACATCACTTCTTTTATTATGTTATATTAATGGTCATATTTGCAATGTTTAACAAATTATATAATTCTAACAAGCATTCATACATTCATATTAATTTGTGTGTTCCATTATTTATCCCCTTTTATTTATCCATTATTTCCATTATTTGCGCCCTGCCACTATTATGTTTAAACGAAGTCCCTTTCTAATCTCATTACAATAAAAACAAAATATTCATCCTGTTTACGTTTAGCAAATTGTACAATTCTAGTAATATGATCACTTTCATCTAATACCATATTTCACTGTTATTTTTATGTCTATCAGATTCCACATCATTTCTTTTCCTACAATATTAATTTTCATATTAGTTAGCAATTATATATCTTTAATAATAATCCCATAATAAAATATTAATTTCATGTTTATTACAATTAACAATTATATAGCTTAAGTATTAATACACACATTCATGTGGAATCCTTATCTTTTTCCTTTTCAACCATCTTACTCTCATTAAAGCATTAATTAATCGCTTCCTAGCTTGTCTCCCATTTTCTATCATTTTTTGACCCACTTAATCATTCCTCCCTTCTCTGTTGTATTCCATTGTCTTTTTTTCCAGTTATCTAATTTTACCCCTATCCTCTCAAAATATTCTCTCTGAAATCCCATTCCCTGTTGTTTTTCCCTTAGAATATTCTCCCCTTAATTTATTGCATCAATCATTATCATTTTAAGTTTTATTTCCTTTTTATCCTTTCTTTCTATTTGTTGTTCCATCCTTTTGTTTGTTTGACCATAGTTAGGACAGTTCTATGCAATAAAAAATTACTGGAGAAGCAAACAGCAGACAGCTAGACTTTCCATACAGATAATCCTTGACTTATGATCACAACTGAGCCCAAAATTTATGTTGTTAATTTCTGCAAGACAGTTGTTAAGTGAGTTTTGCCCAACTTTACAACCATTAAGTGAATCACTGCAGTTGTTAAATTAGTAACATAGTTGCTAAGTGGATCTGGTTTCTCCATTGACTTTGCTTGTCAGGTCTTACAAGGGGATCACAGGACCCCTGGGACACAGCAATTGTCACAAATACTTTCCAGTTGCCAAGTGTCCGAATTTTGATCACATGATCATGGGGATATTGCAACAGTCGTAAGCGTGAAAAATGGTAATCAGTCGTTTTCTTTCAGTACCGTTGAAACTTTCGTTATTAAGCAAATGGTTGTAAGTCAAGGACACTCTGTATTCAAGTATATTTGTTTATAAAGCAAGGATATGAAAGCAGCTGAATTGTTGCCTGCTTACAATCCAATGCATGACTGCTTGCACAAGAGAACAAACTGGGAGGGAACCTTTGCTGCAGCCTGAAAGAATAAGAAAGGCAGAAGTTGAAGTTGCTAAAGCTGGAACTCTTAAAGAAATAGGAGCATTAAATGGCACTGAAGGATTGCTAAGAAGCATTTGCAAAAATTTGCAGAACTCAAAATATAATATTTCTCTTGCTTACCTAGTGATGCAGAGACGAAATGGCTCTAGAGTTTGTAGGGTCTTTTTTCACGTTGCAAAACTTTCTTTGCCCTCTCTTTGGACTCCCTATTCCATATACCTCAACCGGCACAGCTGCTGGCAAGACGTTAATGGGAGCTGCTGCAACTCCAATTATTGTAAAGGACAGCAGCTCTTTGCCCTTCCCATTACATTCGAGGTGTTTTGGTGTCCGTCTAAACTTTAAATCTGACACTGTAAAATTAGGTTTTTTTTTTTAATTGGAGCCCGGAATGCGTGCACCGCATGGTGATATGCATTAGTCTATTTTCATATCTCTATAACATCACGAGTCCGGGCATTTCTGGTCTTAAGGCGACCCCCTTCGTCCGGGAAGTGTGGCAGCTCTCGGGGCCGTTCCAGCCGCCATCCTCTCTATCATCGCTCCGCCTCTTCGTCGGCCATGAATTCCGTTTTCGTTACCGTCGGCACCACCAGCTTCGACGACCTCATTGTCGCCGTGACGACTCCCGAAGCGACCCAGGCGAGTCTTCCGACGCCATCCTTCCCGCTTCCCCGACACCATCTTTGAAAGCTCGCGCCACGCCTCAGAGCAAACAGCCGGCTGCCAAAGGGCGGAAAAAGTCTTCCTGCGTCACCTCCTGTGCCTTTTCTAGGCGCCGGCATGCCACGTCTCTGTGGTTCCTCTGCAATCCAAGCTGGCGTTTTCTGACCCTTTGAAAGCTTTCTTGAGTGGGAAAATCCAGGCGGAAAGGAGGGAAGCCGTGCAATTCTCCCCCGAGTCCTCTCTGGCTCGCTTGGAAGGAAGCTGCCTGAATTGGCCAAAGAAACCAGATAAATTCATAGGGCGGATCCCAGGGCTCTCTTTCAAAATGGGGAGCCGGTTGCATGCATGCTCAAACGCGAATCCCAGTGTGCGCCCCAATGCAAACGTGCACCGTTAAAAGTGAGCCTATTGTTTTTAATCTCCGGCGACATCTTTTTACCAATGTTATTAAAGATCATCAGGATAAGATTCCTCAGGATGATTCAATACTTGGGTCAAATATTTAATCCTAAATTCCTGTATTATGACCACGTTTGTTGATTATTTCAGTAAAATGTATCTTTTATCTGCACTGAGAGCATTTGCACCAAGACAAATTCCTTGTGTGTCCAATCACACTTGGCCAATAAAAAGAATTCCAATTCTAAAATGTAAAGGACACCATCTATATGCTTTGCAACTGCTTCTGATATCTGCAGATGACATGATGGAATGTAGTATAGAGCTGCATGCACTTCGTCAGAGCTTAATCCCATAAAGAGATGACAACTCTATTTGCTGGTTTCCTACCTCCTGTCATTGATCCTTACAGTCAAGCTGTGTACAATATTAGAATGCATGAAATTGAAAATGGGATACAAATTATGAAACAATTAAAATGTATAATCCAGGAGCTATGAGTTTCTTAGTACACACCATAAAATTTATTCCTAAATGGGGTAATGATTTTAACCATGTAAACAGTAAATCCTTTTGTGGGAATCTCACTCCTGATAAAATGATTGCCTTACCTGGGTTTTGCAGAGTATTAATAGGAGTGGGGTATTCACAGTATGATTTTTAAAAAATCAAATGGCATTTACAACTGTACAAAGAGCCACCTGTTTTGTATGTCCTCAGGTAGAGTTTGTTTGCCAGTTTACAAGATGCAGCCACCATCTTGACTATTTGGACCACATGCTGCAGATATCCCTTGATTCTGTTTTCAATACTCAGAAACAATCTTCCATAGGAGTTCCATAACTCCTATATAATTTTATATAATCTTATCTTACATAATTATTTTATAAACCAATTGAACTATTGTATCAAATAATTGGGTACTTATGATTGCAATGGCCCTTCCTGTCCTTATTCTCTTCTGAAAATTCTACAGCTTCTTAAAATGACTCAGTCTACAATTTACATTCCACATTGGTGGCTAAAAGACAATGCTTTGTCGCTGATTAAAGTGCATGCCTGCTGAATTGATTGACAGCATGCAAAACAGGTGGCCAACTCATGCCATTTTAGATCATTTGATAGAGCATTGCTTTTTAGGTATGATGAGAACAAGTGGGTGGTGTACAGCATAGCCATTATCCCTCTTTCAATCTACAGTTGCCATTATTGGCTATTGGCTACACTTAGAGAAGCTGGTGGAAATTAAACCAGCCTTAAGAGAAACAGTTTGAAGTAATGCTTAAAACACCAGGCTGGAAACTGGGTGACTATGAGTTGTAGTTCTGCTTTAGGCATGTAGCCAGCTGGGTGACCTTGGGCCTGTTCCTATTTCTCAGCCCTGGGAAGGTGGCAGTGGCAAAATACTTCTGAAAAACCTTGCCAGGAAAACAGGGACTCATCCAGGCAATCTCCAGGAGTCAATACTGCTTTGACGGCATCAACCCTAACCAATAATGTATTAGTAATAATTCTTTTCTTACAAAAGGATACAGAAGCACAGTTGTAAATAGTATGTCATGCACATTTAATCATATTGGAGAGAGAAATAAATTCACCTTTGTAGCTTCTAATGAGTTTATCTTTAACCTCAGAATATATGTTTCTTTCTGATGCAGGCTTTACAGGACCTCGGCTGTCGCAAGCTTGTCCTTCAGGTTGGCCGAGGCAAAGAGTGTCCAGATTCATTTAGCACAGCCACATTTACTCTGGAAGTGTTCAGATTCAAGAGCTCACTTTCTGAAGATGTTAAAAAAGCAGATCTGATCATAAGCCATGCAGGTAAAGCATCTTGGTACAAACATCCAGTTTCTTAGCGAACCTTTGCACACCCCATCGAAAAGAACAAAATGTAGGAGGATATTTTTTTATATGTGGAAAAGTGGATAATTAATGTCCTTTATGTAGAGTACTGCCCCCTGGAAACAAATGTGAAGGTGGGATTTAAAAGAGAAATGTCTTGCGTTCAAGAGAGATACAGCTATAGAAATTTTATTGTATTTATGGTCAGTGAGCAGCTATAAACAGTCATGAATATGTTTGCAACCTGAAATGTCACTTATATCTAATATAAAGCCCAAATAATTTCAAAAAATGTTAGAAAAGAGTCAATTTGTTTTGTAGCCTTAGCCAAGCAAGGTATAGTCTGAGATATGGATTTGTACTGTTTTTTTATGCAAGACTAACTGCTAGTATATATAGGTAGAAACTATGTCAAATTTGTGCATGTTTATTTACTAGATTTATATCCCATCTTTAATTTCGCGCAATTCAAGATGAGTCCCTCCTTTTCCTGTGAGATAGGTTTGGCAAAGAGAGAGTAGCTGGCCCAAGGTCAGAGCCAGCTTTCACGCCTAAGGCAGGACTAGAATTCATTGCCTCCTGATGATTGGCCCAAAGTCATCCAGCTGGCTTCCACACCTAGGGAGGGACTAGAACTCAGAACCTCCTGGTTTCTAGCCTGTCCCTTTAAGTACTAGACAAAACTGGCTGTCACTTCATAATCAAAAATATTTTTCCCAATTTCTTTTAACACAAACATCAAAACTTAGGTGCTATCTGGAGTATCTGGTTACTCATTACAAAACCCTATCTGCATTTATAAAATGCCCAGAAGTTAGTTGGTGAGTAATATATTAGTTTCCCTTAAAAGAATGCAGCCATTTTAGAACCCTGATCCACTTATAATTATTAATTGGCATGTCCAAAACATGGCTGTGACAAAAACAAAGGAGTAGGACCAGAATAAAATTGACTTCGTTTAATACTGTAAATAAGGCATTCCATGACTATTGAATAATTTTACCCTTCTGTAACATTAAATACAACTGTCAGTCTGTGCTCCATTCAAAATCCAAGAAAGAAATACTCAGACT